AAAAAAAAAAAAAAAAAAAAAAAAAAAAAAAAAAAAAAAGCTTCAGTAAAAAGCTGCAACAAATAGACTCCTGAAAAATGCATGTTAGTTCATCCTCCTTCCCCAAGTTGGCTGCTAGAGGCTGAAACTCTTTGCTTTGCATATGATAGTCTCTGCACTGGAGGAAATGATCTGGTAAAAATGGTAAATACAAATGTGCACTTGTAATTTCCCTTTATAGGAATTACATTTTTAGAATTATATGGCCCATAAGAATTGGAAAACACTAAATTTGGCTTAATCTTCTAGGCAATAAAATATCTTTAAGTTGGACTCCAAAAGTTCCAGATTTTCATTGTTTACCACCCTCCACCCTAACAGAAGGGATCACTGAGTCTGCTGGAAATGGGTGCTGTAAAACCTTGAGGGCGTTCTTTTGATCTCAGGCTTTGAGAACAGGTCAGTACCGTAACCATGCACTCTTAGGATGAACACAAAGGCAACACCGTTATCTGAAAGGGCCCTTTAGATGGAACCACTTAGGCTCTGTGAGGAAGTGCATGTGCATACATCCCAATATTGTACTATGCCCTGCCTTGTGGTTTGATTTCTGCTCAACTCCCCATGCTTTGTTGCTGCTCTTACATCTTCATTTATTATGGAAGAAAATTGGCTTCTGAGCAAAGCACAAGAATTGATCGCTCTTAACTTCCTTTCATTGTGAGAATTTTTTGTAAAAATGGATCAGGAGTGAATCAGGTGAGTCAGTGTAGCAGGGGCTTAGCTCCTTTTCCCACATTTCCTGTACAATCCTAAAACCCTTTTTCAAAGTTTCTCACAAAACAGCAAGTACAAGATCTGTGTGGTGAACTGTTGGTATCTGCATGGCTGTACAACTGCTGTTTGAATAGACTGCTCATATTTGGATATGGAAGACAAGCACACCTGAAAAGTTGCTGTATAGTTGTTTAACCTATACAAATTTGTTGGTTCAACAGGCAGCAGTGCAAGTGTCGAGTACAGATGCATGTGTTGTAAAGCTGGATTTGGATTAAGTCCCATATTAATTAACTGTGTTCATCAAAAAGGTAAGTGCTACAATAATTGCCTGTGAAAAACTTTACTCTTGAAGGAAAGAAAGAACTAACTAACACAGGTTGCAGTCAAGAACTCAAAAGTTATGAAATACCAGAATTAAGATTGCCTGTGCATGCTTAATTTCCCCCTCCTGCTGTGTTTGTGTGTGCATGCATCATGAAAGTCTATTTGTACAATCAAACTAGTGGTGCACTCTTTTTGTTTAAAAAATTATGATTTTGAAACAAAGTGAATTTGATTTAAACATTTCTAGTGTTGCAAGGAAGATTGAGCATGCAGAATTTCAGCCTAGGCTTTGTGCATCTGCAGTGCAAAACGCACAGAAAGGGAATTTGTAATCAAGATTTCTTCTCCTTTTTGGTTAAGTGGTGTGAGTAGCTTTAGTTCCAATTAGTGAAACTTAAATAAGCCACATTGTTCAGTTTGATCATTAAATTACACTGATCAGTTGAGTGCATTAGAAGCCTTTGTGTTCTTAAAAAAAGCTACATTTAAAATAATGAGGGCTTTTTTTCCCCCTGTAAGTGAGATAATGGGCAGTGTGTTAAAATAAACACCAGCTTTGGAAATTTCCTGCATGTGTTCTATGAAGATGTCCTCAAACAGCAGCATTTAATTTTTATGACACACCATCCTGTTTACAAAGCAAGGTTCATTTAATATCTTCATTTTAATTTTAGAAGTGGTTAATACCACTACCTGTTAGTTAAACTTGTTCATCCTTTTCATAATAAAGTTCTGTCTGCAGTTTCATTTTGCCAAACTTGAACAATTTGGGCTGAAATTTCAGAAAAGTGTTACTTTGAGGAAGACATTAGAGCAGCGCTCTGGAAGGGTTAGGGCTTACTTTGAAGCACACCTGCCAAAAAAGTTGGCCACTGCTGCTAATAGAGTGTTCTGGAATGAGGCTTCATCTGTCTCAAACTGTTCGATTATGGAGCTGCAGATGCACAGAGCCTGCAGTGAAACCCTGCCTGACGCACCTTAGGTTGTGATATTTTATAAGTATTTAATTACATTCCATTTGGTTTTAGAATTCTAAGCACTTAAAGTTTTGGCCCGTGGGCTGGATCTGGTCCCTGGACTTGTCACCTGGTCCACAGGATACTTGGAGGAGCTAGGGATTTGGGGGGTGGGATGAGCAAGAGCAGAGCCCACTGCAGAATTCCAGGGTACAGAGGTCCATTGGGGATGCATTTCAGTAGTGGCAAGGTGCATGATGACTGCATTCATTCTTGTGGCTCTCAGCCAATACAGGGTGCTCGCCCTACTGCCAGAGGTGGGATTGGCTCTGGCCTGTGAGGAGCACCATGGGCTAGATCTGGCCATAGGGGTGAGGTAGTTGATATTCCAATTTAAATAATTTGCTTCTGCAAACAACCTTGCTACCAACTGGTATACCCTGGGGGTAATGGTATGTAGTTTTGTTACAAACAGGGGTCAGGGACAAGTAACAAATGATGTTCCTGATGTTTCTTTGACTTTTAATTACTTAAATTTGGAGTGTACACTTGGATTTTAGTGTAGATTAAACCATAATTAACTTTTTGGAGCAACTAAATTGCTTGTAGATTTGGAGCTGCACATGTCATATCTTGACCTAAATGACCTCTAAATATTAAGATATCACTTTGCTTTATTGAATCAAAAGTCCACTTTTATAAGTTTGTTAATTTTATGCTTTATCTGGTTGGTTAGGGGTCTGAAGAAATCTGTTATACTATCCTAACTGTACCACTCTGCTCTTTTTTTTTTTTTTTTTAAATGGAAAGCAACTAAAGCTACTAGAAACTGTGTACTGTTAAGGTTCTGACAAAAACCCACAGGGCAAGAAAAAGATCAGAGTTTAAACTCAACATCCGGACTGGCTTTCTACCCCAACTTGCCCCGTTGGGGTTTTTTTCAGTTAATACAATGACATAATGTAAGTAGCTGGGGCTGGCTTGCATTTTCAATCTTTTGAGTGAATATTTGTGCTCATGACTGGCAGCAGTTAAAATAAGTCTTTTTAGTTCCAACACAAGCAGCTACAGTGTAAGCTGTACAACACTTCCTTGCCTGTAACCTCAACTGTGACCTCATACTCTCTTGGAATGTCCATGCTGGCTCAGATTTGAGTCTGTCCTCTCCAACTACTGCTACTAGTGCCAAATTTTATGCTGTGTTATGTGATATGGATTGCTGTTAACTAGCCCTGAACTATTTCCACTGAATTCATTGAGAACTAACTCTAAAACTAACCGAATTCTGAATCTTCCTCTGTATAATAGGGTATTTTAAATAGGATTTAATTTAAGTGGATCTATCTAATGCTTGCACCATCTTGTCAGCTTAGTAAATGGAAGACCTATACTCAGCCACAAAACTGATATAATATAATGTAGGCAAAAGCAGTATACGTTTCTCTGTTAACCTCAACCTCA